TATTCACAGATATACTTTCTCTAAAGCACTTAAGGGTTGTACGTGGGACCACCCTGTAGGAGCCACAACTGCATGTGCCCCAGATGACTTGATCTTGGTGCTGGAGCCTGAACCAGATGCTGAGATGGGATGAAACTCCAGGGGCAGAACAACAGTGAGTTTCTTATGTCCCGATGTGTGATGATTTTATGTGCTACTTTACCTGGCCAGATGATGTCTAGTTGAGTCTGAAAGTTTCACACAGATGTTGGAATCAGACAGTTGAGCAGAATGAACTGCCTTCAGAATGTGGGTGGGTACCCTCCAGTCAGTGGAAAGCCCTGTAACAACAGGGTGGATGAAATGTATTTCTCCTTCTGGCATTGGCACTGGCACATCCCAGGCCCAGAGCTTCCTGTGGGACCAATCACATCCTTTGGGGAGTTGTGTGTGAGTTCAGGAGTTCTCAGGACAGGAGATGCTCATTTAGGAGAGATACACTAAGTTTTTAAAGCCTTGGGTCTGGTTGAAAAGTGGGTATGAGGCTGAGCTTAGGTTCCCCCAAAGCTACTCCATCACCAGAGAGCTAGTGGGAAAGTATGGAACGTGGCACTACAGACTGGGGGTGGTGGTGTGGGTGAGCCACAGGAAAGGGCTGTTGGGAGCTGGACAGGTTCTCAGTTGGTCTATGCAACCTGACACTGGAAAGCCACTGGCGACCCATCCAAACCAGTGTCAGGGCAGAACAGGGCATGAAAACCAGGGTGGAGACTGCAGGGCAGCAAGGAGACAGAACAGGGGCAGGGTTCAGTGCTATGTGGCCTTGGAGGACACTGAGCACTGCTTCACTCTTGGAAGTAGGACCAGATTTGTGCCTGGTGGGCAGGAAAAAAATAAAAGTGCTTTTGCTGGAGTCCTTTGCAGAATGAGTGTGTGAAGGAGTGAGTACTGCTGTCCCTGGTGCTCTGTCTTAAGATCAATTAGTCAGTATCCCCTATGGTCCTGACTTCTTCCTTGAAGTCCCTTGGCTTGTGCATTTCCTGTTGTGTGGTCTTCTAGGCTGGTCTGCATAAGAGGCTGCTCTTCTGTGTTCTGGACTGTTCTAGTAAATGCTCACCGATGGAGGACCATGCCAGCTTCTTGAACAAACCAGAAACACTGGGACTATTCAGTTTTCAGATAAATTCCTTGCTCAAATCTCTGCCTCTGCCCCCACCCCACCCCCACATTGGAAGGCTCTGAGGAAGAAGAAAGTTCTCCCAAGTACTAGGTGCAGGTGAGGGATGGTTGAGAGTGTGAATACTACAGACTTTCCTGGAGCTGGGTGTAAACACAGTTTGTAAAAGGAAGTCTAATCTACAAGTCAAAAAGGTAAAGAGGGTAGACACTTAATCTGACTGTGGTGTTCTGGTGCTAGGGCCTCTGGGAGTTGGTCAGGATTAGACAGGGTCCCAGGGCAAAGCTGTGTCCTGGCAGTTTCATAAGAAGAGGGAACACTGCCGGGTGTTGGTGGCACACACCTTTAATCCCAGCACTCGGGAGGCAGAGGCAGGCGGATCTCTGTAAATTCGAGGCCAGCCTGGTCTCCAGAGCGAGTGCCAGGATAGGCTCCAAAGCTACACAGAGAAACCTTGTCTCAAAGGGAAAAAAAAAAGAGGGAACACGGCCAGAGGAAACACACAGCTCGCTCTTTCCTCACCAGCTGATGCTCTGTGCTGCCTTGGGACTTTGCCAGCAGGGAAGCCATTATCAAATGTAGCCTCTTGACCTTGGGTCTTTTTAACCGTGGTCCAAAGTAAACTTTTCTTTTTAAACTTACCTGCTTCGTGCATTGGGCATTTACAATAGCAGTGAAAACTGGGTTGGTAGACCAATTGGGGGTGAGGGACTGGGGCACGAAGACTTTGAAAAGCTTTTTGGTAAGCAAATTATCCTCATTTAGTGTACATTTTGGATGCTCTTCCAACCTTCTCCCCACTGAGGTGGAATACTCTCACCCCAGCTGTGACACCCTTGCCTCCAAGCAGGCCCAGGCAGGCTCCACATGGCTGTCCTAGTTGTGAAGACATGGCATATGTGCTCTGTCCCTGTCCTCACAGCTGCTGGTAGGGCTGGCAGCAGAGAGTGGGGGGCAGGAGGTAGGTTGTTGGGGGAAGTGAGCACCCACTGTGGCATAGCCAGGATTTGTGCTCCATCGCTCTGTCATTTACTCCAGCACACTAGCCAGGTGGCTGCTTCTCATTGGCAGTGCCAGACCTTGGCATACTCAGGCAGGGAGGAGGCCTGGGACTGAAGAATTTATTAGTGTTTCCTTGGGGAGATTCAGGCCCCCACCAGCACTGCATTTACTAGTGATCTCTGTGGCCACAGTTCTCTACAACCCTGTCTCAGGAACATCAGGCTACTGCAGCAGGGAAGGGCATCACCCCCCTCCATCAGCCCCAGAGGACTGTCTTTTGTCTTCCACTTTCCAGAGAACTTAAAACCGTTATGGAAAAACATTTTATTACACATATTCAACTTGCTTCCAATGAAATGATGTATTTTTCATGTATGATGGCATCCAATGTTTGTCATCTATTCTTTTGTTTTTCATTCCTAACCAGCACCCAAAACTAAAACAAGATAGAACCCACTGGGCACAGTACTGAATGTAAGTTAACTAGTGAGAAATATATACATTTGACTTTAAAGTGAAAAAAAAAAAAAAGAGCAAAGGTAAGGTTGCCACTCAGGCTCCTTTCCTGTGTTCTTAGCACCGTAAGATTGTGAGACTCTAGTGACGCATCTGTGTGACCACGAGGGTACAGGACTTGAGTGACGGTGCAGGTCTGACACAGAAGCATCACGTGATCCCAGAGCTTTGATGGCTCTGGACAAAACAGAAGGAAAGTGTCACGGTGGAGTTCAAAGTGACAATGCCAGCATTTGCTCAGAAAGCGCTTGCGTGTGGGGGAAGCACCGAGGGGCTTAACATTAATGATACGGGGCTCCTTCCAGGACAGATGGCAGTGGGGCAGCAGAGGCACGAGGGACAGTCACACCTATGGGGACATGCTCACACTTGCTCTGCCTAGGTGGGCCTCTAAAGACCCACAAGGAAGATGTTGTGGCTTCCTGAGCTGGCTATGCTGATGCTCTCACGGCTTTCTGGCTGCAAAATATGAATATCTTTGGGTAAACTAACACATGTTGGGCTGAAGGAAAATTGACAGCACCTTCTCCTCCACTCCCCCCAAACTACCTGGAATCTGTGGGTTTTAGAAACAGGTTGGGGAGTCTGCTGGTGACCAGATGTGTGTGTGTGGCGGGGAGCAGGGTTTAGCACCTCACTGGGGTAATGGGTTACTTCATCCTGACTGTCTCTCAGAGCACCCAAGGAGGTTTATCAACACTCCTTTTCAATTCAAGTGGAATCAAATTCCCTGCCACCCCTACCACATCTCTGTGATGGGCTAGTCAAATTAAAAACAAAAACAAAAAGACCCTAAATTAAAATAGAAACAGCACCAATAAGTCAAAAAGTACTTGGAGATGATCCCATGGAAACTGGCCCAAGAACTTCTATCTGACACCAGGAGAAGATGGGCCTCAAGGTAGTTCCACACATAAGCACCCAAGAAAACCCACCAAGATGTGAAGCCAAGCCAGCCACCTGCAGCAGCCAGGAGACTAGCAGCTGGTCTGCTCTTGGAAAGGTCAGTCTGGTTACTTCTCTGCACTTCTGGAGTTAGGAAAGTTCTGTGGTGAAAGTGAAGGCATGGGGATGGAAGAGAGGACCTTCTCCATCTTTCCATGTCACATCAGGATGGCTCAGTGATGACAGCTGGGAACAAGAAGGTACCAGCCATGAGATCTTGGCTAGAGGAAGGCTTGATGGCCGTGCAGCAATTTCAGTCAGGTGGTGTTCATCCAAAAGTCCTGGCACACCTGCCTTGTGCCCAGATACCGAAGTCAACCTTTGTGCTGCAGAACCCAGGACTGACTGATAAGTGTCCTCAGATGTCCTGAACATCATCCTAACTTCAGAAAAAAGGCCAATGACAATGGAAAGCTACTTGGCCGAGATGCAGAATACATATAATGTGCAAAGCCTTATGGAGTTGCAGGCCTTGAGTGGATATGCCTTGAGGCAGAGTGGGAGCTGGCACACCCGAGGAAGCAACCCTGTGCACCATGTGTGCATGTCCCTTTTCATAGCACCTTGAGGAAAGGCTCCCCTGTTTCCCTGTGGGGTATACCACTGAGTGGCTTCCCAAATCCAGCTCTTCAGGGATGCTCCATAACCCCACCATATGTGGGATGCAGAACTCTGTGGCACTGGTATTTTTGTTGGCCTATTCAGATTTAAACTCTCAGGGGCAAGATTTCTAAGGAAAGGACCAGGATTTTGAGACTGTATGTTTTTGAGATGGGCAAAGGCCAAGTCTTAATTCTTGTGCTCAGGCAGCAAAGCCCTCTTCCAGAGAAGCCATTGTAGAGGCTGGTCAACCAGCACATTGCTGGCTTTTAGGATAGAGCCTCTCCCAATGTGATATCTCATTTCCAGGATATTTCCACAAAGCTCCATCAAGCCCGAGGAATTCAAATGTCAACATAAAGCCAGGACAGAAGCAATAACACTCTTGTTTAAGTGCTCTCTCTCTCCTCTCCCTCTCTCTCTCTCTCTCTCTCTCTCTCTCTCTCTCTCTAATTATCTGCCAGAGGTGCCCCCTTTGAGATATATATGATCTTGGAAGTTAAAATTATTTTGTGACTCTTGTGTACTTTCTCCTTAGATAGCCATCCAGTGGCTGTTAACAATATATTATGTTCAAAGGACAAATGGCAATGTCAAGTCCACTCTCTAGCTCTATGCAACTGGAATCTCGAGGCAGCCTTATTGTGGGAGCAGAGGAGTGCTTTGGGGGTCCTGGCTGCAAGGCTGGTGTGCTTTTGGATAGGGTGAGGGCTCTCCACTCACTAACTGCCAGACCTCAGATCTTGAGTCAGAGCTTTGAGCAAGCACTGTGCTGTTTACGTCATGAGCTTGATGGAGAGGGCAGCTGGCGCATCTTATTTGCGTAGAAGTCCCTACAGGTCTGGCAGCAGCGCTGGTACCACCGCATGTCCTGGCAGAGGTTCTTCTCTCGGATGACCCGGCAGTATACCGTCCACTGGTCTCGTGTGCATTTGTAGGTCAGGGCAGCTAAGAGGACAGCGGAAAGAACACATGTATGCCCAGAGGTTAAAGCCTTGGTTAAATACATAGAAGCCACCCATGGTTATATCACTTTCTTTTACCTTCAAGTACATATTAGCCTTGAATAAATTCATGGACAGCTAGGGCTATACAGATGCTACTTTCTTCTACGGATCTACTTCTGCATCCAACCCCTGACTGAGGTACCCCTACTGCCTTTTCAGAGCAAGAGACACCAGACAATTTGCTACTGAGCTTGAAGGAACTGGTTTGTGATAAACCATAATGCTTCTGTTGGTATTTATAAAACACAGTGACCTGGAGCTGTGGACATTAAAGAACCCACAAAAATGCAAATTTGAAGGATAATCAAATAGCTCACATTTCTTTCAGGGTCTTAGCCCTCTAGAGAGAAAGCCTTACACATAGGAGGTCCTGAAAAGATACCAAGTAGACTTATGCTGGCAACAGACATGGGTGTTCTCTCTACGAGCTCAGCAGCTCCCCCACTCAGATGGAAACTGCTTGGAGAACCCTCTCTGGCAGCTAAGGGGCTCTGGTTAGTGTGGTGGCGAATGCTGTTAAACTACCAGGAGCTTGGATCACTCAGGAGACAAGCCTCTGGGCATGTCCATCAGGAAGTACCCAGAGTGGGTTAAAGGAAGTTGGTAGTCCAATCCTGAGAGTGGAGAAGGGGGTACTGTTCCATAGTCTGAGGGCTTGAAATGAATTAAAAAGGACAAAGGCAAGCACCAGCGTTGCTCATCTCTCTTTGCTTCCTGACTGTGGGCACAATAAGTCCATTTGTCTCGATGACAGGCCACCATAACCTCCTCGTGATAGTGGGCTGTACCCTTATAACATAGACCAACAACCCCTTCCATAAGTCTCTTTTGTCAGGCATTCTGCTAAGGCATTAGATGGTCTTCATGTAATCCCATCACTGGCTGGACTACTGCCGCACAAGCAGGCTTGTTCTGAGCACCAAGAACCAAACTGCTTACACAAGGACTGTAACCTCTCCACCCCGTCTATATGCAGATCCATCATGGCACAGAGGACGCCATGCAGTTATCCTAGTGAATCTTTCCAGAAAGGATTGTGGCTCTTCACCCTCCTCACATACAGGGGACAGGGCTGCAGCTATCCTCTTGTGTTGGCAGAAGGATGCTGTGGGTGATGGCCAAACACCTGTGAACCTTCTTCAGCCCTAGCAAATATTGACCCCTCTAGAGTTCAAAGAAGGTGGCTTTCTGGTGTACAACAGGGGGACAGTGGCACCCAGAAACCAGGGTCAGGGGAGGTACTCACCAAGACGAGGGGAGGTGATGGTGTTCACATTAATCTTGTCATTGCAAGCCTCCATGTGGCACTGTCTGTAGGCTGCTGGCTTTGAGAGAGTGGGGCACTCACTGCCATGGCGTCCAGTTACCTTGTGCATGCATTGTACCACACGGGACTGGAGTCCCTTCCCGCACGTGGATGAACACTGTCAGAGACAGGGACAGCCTGAGCTGAGGGTGTATGAGGTGGCCCTACCATAAAGCTGCTCCTGGGCATGCCATTCCCAAGTGTCTGCAATATCTGAAAGTCAAGGATGCTCACTGCCTGCTAGAAGAGTTGCTTCAAGATGGCATGCTTATGCCTCCCCGAAGTGTACACTGAATCCCTAGCGCCCAGTGGCTGGGACAGGCAGTTGAGGCTTTGGCCAGTCAGTGGTTAATCTTGATCACCACCAACTTGATGGGATTCAGAATCACCATGGAAAAAAATCTTTGGTCATCCCTGTGAGGTAATAATGACTAGGTTGGGGTGAGATGTGAAGAGCCACCTTTAATGTGGGTGGCACCATGGTGTGGGCTGAGAGGTCCTGGATTGAATGCGTTGAGCACTGGTATTCATTACATACCACTTCCTGACTGTGGGTACAATGTAACCAGCTACCTTAAGCTCCTGTCTTTCCCACCATGAAGGATTGCACCTAAAACCTTAAATATCAAGTTGCTTTTGTCTGGTATTTTGTCACAGCAATGTCACTGATACAGAGGTGATTAGGCAAGGGCACCCAGGACGAGTTAGTGACTCTATAAGAAGAGAAAGACTAGAATGTTCTCACCACAAGATGGCTCCCTGCAAACCAGGGGACATTAGCCCCACATGTTGGTGACACTGGCATAAACACAACAGCTCTACCAGTCTTTAAAAGCATAGCACAGCACAGAAGTATGAGCAAGATGAGATACTTGATAATGACAGTGTCCTTAGCTGCATCTACCACACACAACATTTTCAGTGGTTAGAGTATCATATTACTTAGGAAAGTATTGTCAGTATCTCATGTCTGTAGCCTCTCGGGACTGCATGAGGAGTTCGTGTGCAGTGCCCTTGGCCCTTGAGGTTTGTGAACGTGTATTCCACGTTGTGCAAGGACCAGGTTCCCTAACACTTTTCTGAGCCCCTCCCATGTTAAGTGGCACATGGCCCTCTCCCCCAATCTGGCCCCTTGGTTCTTCCTCTCTCTAGGGTCCTGTGAACCATTTCCCCACGAAGTTGGTTTCTCCTCAAGTAAAGAACGACAGCTATGTGCACACCTTGTTCATCTGGTGTCCCCAGGGCCCCCACTTCTCTGATTTATGGGGTCCTGAGAACACTCTGCAAAACTTTAATACAGCCCAAGCTGCACAGCAGCCCAGCTGGAGTTAATAACAACGCCTGAGGTAGGTAGAGAAAGGGACTGTCCTTAAAACGCTGTATGTGCAGAGAAAGCCAGAATATGTGCCTTCTGTCCCCCTGGAGTAAGCAGAGGGCCTTCCTGGGAGGTTCTGGGGAGTCACAGGCTCAATGCAGGCATTGGTGCACCATTTTGCCCAGGGAGGCATTGCCAACTCTCTTTCAGAGACTTGTGGGAGCCTGGGGACTTTGCCTTCCTGTCTAACAAGCAGGATCACGCTGGTATTTTCACTTTAAAGTGTAAACATTCAAGGGAAGGCTGCTTGGAAAGATCAGCAATCTTCAAATCACAAAAGAGGTGGGAAAGCTCCCCTCTGGGCCCCTCAGCATGTTCAAACCAGCCCAGGCTCTCTCCCTGACATGCAAGGCTGGCCCTAAATCTGGCTTCATGCCCAGTTCTGCATCCCAGATACACCCACCAGAGGCTTCCAGCTGCCTGGAGAATTCATCCTGCATCACCAGTGCAGATTTCTAGGTGCTAACCTTAACCTCAGGAATCAGTACCGGGGTTCATGGATGTCTGAGAGTTGCTGAGGCCATACAAGGAGGTTCCCACTAGTAGGGAGCCCTCAAACATGAGGCAGGTACTAGAGCAATGGGGACTCTAGTGGTGTCTTGCAGGAAGCTAGGATCGGCTGCAGGGGTAACCCAATGAGCTTTGAAAAAAAAATCTTGCTGCCTTAACCCCCACAAAGAAATGCATCAGGGAAGGCCCAGGATATCGCTGTTTTGTTTTTAAGTTCTCCAGGTGGTTGCAGTGGGTACCTGGTACTGAAAGCCCCTGACTTAACCTGAGTTTCTGTGCTCTGTAGAAAATGCAAAGGAATCTTCCTATGAAGCCATCATGTATTTCTATCCAGCTAAGCAGAATTAAGCTAAAATGACATCCAGCTGCAGTCCGGACTGCTGAGTTTATGTATAGCTGACAGGTGTTCTCAGACGGAAGCCATGATGGCTCCCCATTAAAATAACACTTAATGTTTTGGTAAGAATTAAACTGTTCCGAGTTCAAGGGCAACGAGGCATGCTTTCAAGTATTTCATAGCCAAAGTACTGTTTGGGAAAATGCCACTCATTTGAATAACCTCAACCAAGGTTCATTGTAGGTCTTACGAAAGATGGCCCAGAGGTTTAAAAAATGAAGAAAGGAAAAAAAAATTAGCTTTCTACTTCTAGAGACAGGATTTCACAATTGCAAATAGAGAGGGGTGACATAAAATGTATAAGGACCACTTATCAAAGTTGTTACACCTACAGAATCCGCTTGAATAAGGTCAGTGGCAGAAAGGTCCATGACACTGATCAGAGCAATCACAGCAAGGAAGAAGTCACTCCAACTGGTACAAAGCCATGTCAATGCAATGTCACACTGATCTGGAGCCATCCCATCAGGCGATGAAGAGTCAAAGCTGTGCCAGCCAATGCAAATGTATGGGAAGGTTGTGTCCTGAGGGAGCACATCCCGTTCAGAAAGTGGTTTCTCAGTGAAGCTAGATGGCGATGTCTATGCATGCCCTGACAAAAGTGTGTGTCTGGGGAGATGATGGAGCAGATAACACAAACACCCTACTATGATACACAGAACTGGTATCTGAATCAGTGGTGAGTTCACAAGGCTCAACTTAAGCTAAGAGAAAATAGCTTATGTCTAAATCCAGATGCCTAATATACACGCACAGGTTTAAATCGTTCAATTAGGGCTAGTGAGATGGCTCAGCAGATAAAGGGGCTTGTTGCTAAGACCAAGGAGAGAGCTAAGTCTCTCCCTAAGTTTCCTCTGATCTCCATATGTGTGCCTTTAGTATCTCATACTCAGGAAATAAGAAATAATAGAGAATTCCTACTGACGATCTTTGAGTGGTGGGCCTTCTGCATTTTGGTTTGAGCCTGCCTCTAGCCTAAGAGTCACACAGCTCACAGTCTGGCTGGAAAGGTCCTTGGGTACAGTGTATCATACCAGGGAGCTGTTGGTGGGGGATGGGCCTGTTGGTACCTTGCAGGAGTCTGGGATATCACAGGCCTCAATAAACATTAGAACTGTTATTACTATTAACAGTAAAGCTGAGGATAAAGCAGGCTTGCTGGGAGGCTGCAGGAGGAAGAGCAGGAGGCTGTCCTCTTCCTTAGTTCCCTTGGGCTATGGCACTGTCACTAGGATCTAGTTCATGTTTGACCTGGCAGCCAGATCTCCAGGAGCACAATTAGGGACCACTTTGGCAGGAAGGGGCTGCTTTGCAATGGCACCTTTCTGGGACCCCAGGCTCAAGTTACAGACAACAGAGGCATGCTGTGAATTCCATTCTGTGGTCTCCCCTGAGGCCCCAGCCTTAATTAAACAGTGAGGAGGCTTCAGTGTCTCCTGATAGCATCGGATTGTGCCCCGAGCCTTGCTGGGAAGCCATTTTTCAGGCTTTTACAATCTAAGCAAACACATCTATAAAAACGGAGCCAGTCTTGTTTGAAGATCTCTCAGGGCTGCCCCCTCCTCTTTCTTTAAAGTGGCTCATTCCATCAAAATTTAATGTGACTCCCTGAGACAGAAGTAAACCAGCCATAAATTCACCAAGGAAAGTTCCTTGTCAGGCTAAGTAAAGGAAGCTCTCCTCCCTGTCCTTTGGAAGCAAAGACCTATAAAACACTTTGTATTCTGCCTGGTGACCAGGCAGCCCCAGCATCCTTCTGTGGCCTTTCCCTGGGCTGAAAGGGAGAATCAAAGACACCTGAGGCAGAGGTGCCACAGGGGGAAACAGTAGTGGTATAGAGAGTTTATGGGCTGAACTATGGTTGGGTGGTAGAGCACTTGCTCAGCATGCAGGAAGAGAGAGACCCCGGCTTTCATCCTTAACCACAGCACAGGATAAAAAAAAAAAAACAAAAAAAAAAAACAAACTAATGGCATTCTACCACCACTATGGCAAAAGTCAGGATGGAGGCCCAGGAAGCAACAAGGGAGATTAAATTTGGATTTTCTCATATGCTTTTCAAAAGCAGAGTACAAAGTGACTAGGAAAGAGATTTGTCTCTGGGAAGAGAAGTCCGGGCAAACAAGAGGAAACAGGTTGTCGAACCCTTGTGACACTGTGCAGCAGCAGTATTGCTTGGCATCTTTCAAATAACAGTGATTATAATAGCTTTTAACAGCAGGACCTGGGTGTTGACAGTGTACTGGCTTTGGGATGCTCTAGTTCTCACACTAATAGGTGCTTGGAGCACAGTAGATGTTCCTCTGTAGGAGATGAGGTGCCAGCCTTTCAGAGGCAGGGTGTGAGCCTTGAGCCTTATGATGCCATGGCTTGACCATCCCCAGCAGGGAGAAGTCAGCGCCACCCCCTCCACAAGAGGCTCTCTCTGTCCTATGACACCCTCCCGACAAGAAGGAACTGTCTTAGTGGTAAGGAATTGTAAGCACTAAATTCTAAGGGAATGTTTTCAGGATTTCACTTTAAAAATGCTGTAAGAATCTTGTGAGTTGAAGGTATCCCATGGGAACTCATTTGGGGAGTAGAGGAGTTCAGGTCAGGCTGCCCTGCCTGCCCTGGGACTAGGTAGACTGAGGCAGGAAGGAGCTCCTAGGGCAGCAGGAAGCCACTCCTAAGCCTCTTGAGTGAATCTGAAATCCAGCCTTCCTCGGGCAGGTTCTGGATAGGAGAGATGGAGAAGGAGCCCCACAGTAGCTCTGCCTTGTCTGAAGGGTGCCTGGCTGGTGAAATGTCATTAGTTCTCCAAAGACTTTTCTGAAAGGTTTCCCTCCAGACTTGG